TTCTGCACCATGTGAGCTAATGAAGACGGGCAACGCCATACAGGGTGCGATGAGGGAAATTTTGCCAGGAAAGCGGCATTAGCCTGCTCTTTTTACGATTTCCAACTGTCGAGGGATCTTTAACGTGCACAGCCTGTAGCACACGGGGCCTCGGATTATTGTCCCATCCGAACGACTAGACGCTTTTTCCATGTCAGCCCCTCTTACCTGCATCACTGACAGGGGGAAACCGGGTTGAAAAATCCGAAGGTATTATCTCGACCTATGCCGGGATTGAACCCTGGGCCTTCAGGTTAGCGAACAAGCGTCTAACTCATTGAGCCACCGCGGCTCCCAAGAACAGATGTTGAAATGAGGTAAGCAATTTGTTGCCTGTCATTTCAATAAGATTACAATTGTCTTGTAGATTTTTCATGACATATTGGCATATTCATATAATCATTTTTATACGCCCACATCAAATGTGGCGCGTACATTGGCGTCACCGATGTCCGTCCATCCGTCATATTATTATATATTCTGGTCTGGTGGTAGGTTGGTTATGAATTATTTTGTGGGGGCTGTGTTATTTCCGGTTAACTCTTTCTAGAAATGCAGGAACCACGGGCATCGGTCGTAGAGTTGGAATGTTCTAAATATAAGTCAAAGATACACATAAAAAGACTAGAAAACCTATTTACAATCCCATAAAGTCCGCGATCATATATTCATCTAGCTCAGCCGCCGTGGTCGTTATTCAGCATCAAGTCTTGTTGACTGTAATCGAAAACCGAACACATAATTTAAGCACTTATTTTGTTATATATTTAATATGTTTAAGTGCATTAGAAGGTGGAGCTGTAGGTGGAACTGAAGGAGAACCAGATGGAGAGGTGGATAGGGGAGTCAGGGAAATCCGAGAGGAGGAACTCCATTTGAATAATTTATTCAAATCAAAGAGAAATAAAAAAATAAAGTAATCTTAGTTTTAATATAATATGCTAAACTCACCATGATTGTTTCCAGTGTATTTGATAGATCTGGAGAGTATGCGAGATCTTTGGATGACTGAGACAAAATACCATGTCCTTTTTTAAAGAGATAGTAAAGATGTTTTCTAAAAATTGTACGTGTATCGGGGACACTAATAGCATCAATTTGAACCATTCCAATACTCAACCAGACGTCTGTGATTCTTTAATTTCACTAAAACTAAGCGTTTGATGACGTCACTAAACGCTAATGTTGTAGCACATATCGACTTATACAACGCTTAGTTTTTGTGGAATTACAGGATTAATTTATATTCAATCCATCTACAAGATCCTTTCCAATTATATTTCATTACATACCTATTTTGGAATATTATAGGAAGGCATGCAATCCAGCAACATTACAAAACCATTTCCAAGGACATAAAGCACTGGTTGGAACATGGATTCCTATATTTCAAAATTTCTAATTATTAAAGAGACACAAAAAAAAAATCGATTCTACAAAAGTACTTTTTAATGTTATGTTAGAATTGTATCGTTGACCAGTGAAAAGTTTTAAAAGAAACATAAGGAGTATTATTCTTGTAATTTACAATACAAAAACAGAAGGAAAATCTGTGAAAATTCCCTGGTTTCATGAAACCTCTCTAAAAGGTATAATGAAATATGGGGCATATGTAGTCCAACAATACTTTGCATCTTTCTACCAGGATGCAACGCACTGCTTCAGCGCCGTTGCACTTAAGGCTCTAGTTGATTTTTTTTTACGATAAATGAAAGTGGCGAAGTCTGCTCTATAATTCTATAGTATGGTTTCCATTTACCTTGAAGTTTACTGGTACGCAAATGATTTTCAACATAGACTGGATCACCGACTTGAAAGTTAGCCGATTTGGTCTTTGTATCGGCATACCGAGCTTGTCGACGTTTTGCTTTCTTGAGGTTTTGGTGAACTAAAATGAAAGATTTATATTGATTTTCAAACGCAATTTTGTGAAAGTCCTCCATTAGATATTTCCGTCTCAGTTTCAGCAAGTTATCGATAGGGAGCACGACATCGCGATTGTACAGAAGATAAAATGGAGAGAAACGTGAAGATTCACTAATATTCAAACGCTAAAGTTTGGTAAAGGTATAAATCCCAATTATCCAGCTTATTTTCCATTTTCGTGGAGAGCACGTCATGGAAGGTTCGATGAAAGCGTTCTACCATCACATT